TTATTCTTAGGTACTATTTAAATAAATATAAAATGAATTATTACATTTATCTTACCTACATAATTAATTTTTATTAATTATTTCAATAAACAATAACTGTCGTTTTATATTCCAATTCACTATTCCAGTTTTTTATCTCACAGATGAAATATAGGAACGGAATTGAGTAAAATCGGTGTTACCGCCGACCTAACATCGGGGGTTGCGCGTAAACGCTTCAACGAACTTTTGTCAGAGAAGAGAGACTTAAAATATTATTTTTCTAAAAATATCTTATTAATATTATAAGTATTATTATCGAAGCCTTTGGCTCATTATCATCATGCATAATTAAATTTTTTTTTTCCTCATAAACATCGTTATTGGCTATAAAAAAATTGATTCGGTCGTACATTATTTTTTTCTCTCCTTTAGCGTGATTGCATATAAAATTTGTCCTAAAAAAATTCATTATTACAATTAATTAAATTATAAAAAAAATGACATTGATAGGCTTGAACACAAAACCTACGTTTCCGTAGTCGAGCGTGTTACCTCTGAGCTGTTACAAAAATATCAAATTTGTTTTATAGCTTCTATGGATGTTGCGAACAGAGCCGGATCTTTTCCATTTAAAAATTGGTGCTTGAGAATATAGTGGCTTAGGATTCTATAATGAAAGTAAAAGAGAACACAAATCTTATCTCTGTTCTCTCTTAGATTAAGGGGCGTGCCTGAAATAAACCTTCGCAGCGCCATCGCTCGATGGGTTCACAGAAACTTTTATATTGTGACCTGAGATTACTGACATGTTGACCCAAAATACCGATATGTTGACCGAAACTTCGTCCAGATTTTTAACACAGCATTAGACTTCTATGCTGGTCTCTCTTCTCTGGCGCAGACTAAACATCGGTGTTAACAAAAGCAGAGATGTGTGGCTGCATTGCACCAACTTCTGCTGTCAACCGACAGAGGCGCAATTGTGCCGGCCTTGGCAGTTGGCAGCAGTGGAAAAGCAGGCAGGCAGTATTAAAAAAGAAAAGTCTAATTTTATGTTCACGCCACAGCTATGGTTTAATAAATAATTTAAAAGTTAATTAAGGATTAATAAGTTGTATCGTTTGAATTGAATAAACATTACTATTTTGTTTAAACAATTGTTCTCCCACTTTTTAGTTAGATTTCCTATAAATCTACATTGGTGACCCCGAAAAAAGGAAAAACTAACCTAAAAAATTCGTTGCACATGACGAGAATTGACCAGTCGCCAGAAGAAACAGCTAGTGGTGAAATAGCAGAGAGTCAAGCAATCATTCAAGATAATATTACCGCAAATAGTACAGCAAGTTCGTCCAACATGACTGACAATCAACAACCCACAGGTAATCAAGGTGTACGAGAGTTTTCTGATGATAACGGCATAGCGTCAGTTGAGTTCAAGTTACCGCCATTTTGGAAGCAAGATCCAGCTCTGTGGTTTATCCAAGTCGATGCAATATTTCATCGCAAAAGAATTACCAGTGACAGCAGCAAATATTGGACAGTCATTTCCCACATTGATCCGGAATTGCTACAACATGTCTCAGACATTGTCAAAAAACCTCCCGAAGCTGACATGTACAATACTCTTAAAGAAAATCTTATCAGTCGTCTAAGCACAACTCAAGAACAACAATTACAAATTCTCCTTGATGATATTGAACTAGGTGACAACAAACCCTTACAGTTGCTACGTAAAATGCAAGACTTAGCTGACAACAAAGTAACAGAAGATGTTCTACGTTCACTCTGGTTGAAACGCCTTCCAGCTAACGTTCGCTTCGTTCTATCTGCCAACGTAGAAACTAGCTTGACTGCAGCAGCAACATTAGCTGATCGACTAGTCGAAATTAACCCAATACAAAGCGTCATGGCCGTCAGCAAGGTGAAGGACGTCGCAACAGCTACTCCAATTAAACTTTCTGAGGAACAACGATTAGACAAGCTAGGAAAAGCTGTACAAGCTCTACAAGTATCAATAAAAGAAATTAATAACGGTAGAAAAAGTCGTGATCATACACCAAGAAGCAGATCACGAGCAAGATCTCGTTCCTTCCATCGATCACCTGCACAAAACAATGGTATATGCTTTTATCATGAGCGATTTGGTGTCAAAGCTAACAAATGTGAAGAGGGTTGTACCTTTATTCAAAAACAGGGAAACTAAATAAGCTGTCCTTAAAGCAGACGGGAAGTGACAGCAACAGTCTCCAAAAAGAAATCCGTCTGTATATTTATGACAAAAATAACAAAATAAAATTCTTGGTTGACTCAGGTTCAATATTATCAGTATTACCTAGAGCATTCTTTAAGTCAAAACTGATGCCTAGCTCATTGAAACTTTATGCAGCAAATTCCAGTGTCATAGATACCTACGGCAGCAAAGTCATTAAAGTAGATCTTGACCTACGTAGATCTTTCAAGTGGTCTTTCACGATTGCAAATGTCAAGACACCGATCCTTGGAGCCGATTTTCTCAAACACTTTGGACTGCTCATTGATCTTCGCCACAAACGTCTTGTCGATGTTAATACCACTCTCACAACAAAATGTGATATCATACGAGCTTCTATGTATAGCATTTCTACTCTTAATCAGCAGAATACTTATTCTAACCTATTGAAAGATTTTGTTGTCATTACCAAACCTTCTACAACTCCACGCACTGAATCTACTTCTCCAGTTGCTCATCACATTGAAACTACGGGTTCCCCAGTCTTTGAACGTTTCAGAAAATTAACTGGTGACAAACTAACAGCGCTTAGGCTTGAAATCGAATACATGCTTGAACAATTAATGATCAGACCATCAAGAAGCCCATGGGCAAGCCCAGTTCATCTTACACCTAAAAAAACTGATGGCTGGCGTGTATGTGGTGACTACAGAAAGTTAAATGCCAAGACAACACCAGACAGATATCCATTACCACTTCTCCAAGATCTTTTCCAGCGTCTACACGGAAAAAAAGTGTTTTCAACTCTAGATCTAGTTCGAGCTTATCACCAAATACCCATGGCAGAAAAAGATATACCTAAAACAGCAATTAATACACCTTTTGGTCTGTTTGAATACCTCGTCATGCCGTTTGGCTTACGAAATGCGTCACAATCTTTTCAAAGGTTTGTTGATTAGTTTTCAGAGGACTTGACTTTGTTTTCGTATACATAAACGATGTAATTGTCATGTCAGAATCTCACGAGCAGCATCAAGAACATCTTAAGCAAGTTTTTCAGCGTCTTCGAGAGCACAAACTAGTCATCAACGTGAGTAAATGTGTTTTTGGACAAGAGCAAGTGCAATATTTAGGTTATACAATCAATCAAGATGGTTATAAACCACCTACGGAACGTGTAGAAGCAATAATCAATTATAAACAGCCAGAAACCATCCAAGAGTTACGACGTTTCCTCGGTGTAATTAATTATTATCGTAGGTGCATACCTGATGCAGCTAAACTTCAAGCACCTCTCAACGAATTTATCAAAGACTCAAAAAAGAACGATAAACGTAAGGTTCCTTGGACACCTGAAACAATCCAAGCTTTTGAAAAGTGCAAACAAAGCATCACAGAAGCAACACTCATGTCTTTTCCAGATCCTAAAGCACCCTTAGTTCTCACTACAGATGCTTCTGACACAGCAATGGGAGCAGTCTTAGAGCAGTTCGTTGATGGTCAATGGAAACCTATAGGTTTGTTCTCAAAAAAGTTAAGCTCAGCTGAGCGTAACTATAGCACTTACGATAGAGAACTCCTCGCAGTTTATTCAGCTGTCAAGTTCTTTCAACATTTTCTAGAAGATCGTACTTTTGTGACTAAGACTGATCATAAACCTCTTGTTTATGCTTTGCACAGGAAGACTGAACAAGCTTCACCTCGCCAACTTCGCCAGTTGTCATTCATTTCACAATTTAGCACAGAAATAGTATATGTCAAAGGTGAAGACAATATTGTAGCCGATGCTTTATCAAGGATCAATCAAATTAATATACCAACAATACTGAGTCCAGAAGAAATTCAACAAGCTCAAACCAACGATGAAGAACTTCAAGACTCGTTAAAAAATTCTAATTCTTCATTAAAATTACAACGTCTTAATGTTGACCCAGAGAAAGACATCTTCATTTACTGTGACATTTCTGCCGGCGTTGTAAGACCGTTCATCCCTAAAAATCTACGTAAAGCAGCTTTCAATACAGTTCATGGACTATCTCATCCTGGTGGCAAAGCAACCAGCAAACAATTAAAAGCTAAGTACATCTGGTCAGGGATCAAACGAGATGCTTTAGCTTGGTCTCGAAATTGTTTAGCTTGTCAAAGGGCTAAAGTGCATCGTCACACCAGATTGAAGCCTAACAACATTGAGGTACCAAGTACTAGGTTCAATCACATCCATATCGACCTCATTGAATTACCTATAGCTGACGGATTCAGATATTGTCTTACAGTTGTAGACAGATTTTCTCGTTGGCCAGAGGCTATACCCATTAAAGATATGACTGCAGATACAGTATCAACAGCTCTGTTTGACAACTGGATATGTCGTTATGGCACACCATTATCAATCACGTCGGATCAAGGTACTCAGTTCGAGTCAGCTCTATTCACTGCCTTAGCGAGGTTAATTGGTTCTTCGCGTATCAGAACGACACCTTATCATCCAGCTTCCAATGGAATGGTAAAGCGCATGCACAGAACTCTAAAAGCAGCTCTCATGTGTCATCCACAAGTTCCTTGGACTCGGCGCCTATCAACTGTGCTCCTTGGACTTCGCACATGCATAAAAGAAGACCTAAAAGCCTCACCTGCAGAACTATTATACGGGACAACGTTACGTGTTCCTGGTGAATTTTTCATGAATCAGGATATGCCAGTAGATCCACAAATCTTTGTAGAAAAATTCAGAGAATACATGAGAAGCATCAGACCAACTCCAACCGCTCACCACACGAAAGCTCGAGTCTTCATTCTCAAAGATTTACACAATTGTTCACATGTGTTTCTAAGAGATGATTCCGTAAAAAAACCTCTCGAACCTCCGTACTCTGAACCATACAAAATTATTCAACGAATAAGTGACAGAGTATTCAAGATTGTTGTTAATGGTGAAGAAAAGTCAGTGTCAATCGAAAGATTGAAACCAGCATACATAGCAAAAGATGACATCACTACTCCAGCGGAAGACGATGTACCTGAAACTCCAAATACTCATCAGTGGGGCTCGGGCATGGACCGGCCGAAAAAGACATATGCCAGGAAGAAGATATCGTTCCCGAGTGAAGGCACTAGGTCACTTGGGGGGGAGTGATGTGGCTGCATTGCACCAACTTCTGCTGTCAACCGACAGAGGCGCAATTGTGCCGGCCTTGGCAGTTGGCAGCAGTGGAAAAGCAGGCAGCCAGTATTAAAAAAGAAAAGTCTAATTTTATGTTCACGCCACAGCTATGGTTTAATAAATAATTTAAAAGTTAATTAAGGATTAATAAGTTGTATCGTTTGAATTGAATAAACATTACTATTTTGTTTAAACAATTGTTCTCCCACTCTTTAGTTAGATTTCCTATAAATCTACAGATGCCGGGTTGGCGTGCCATCTTGCGGTCATTATTATAAATGCTGACTACATTTCTTAGCTCCCATAA